ATTTTTTCTAGATTTGATATTTTAGTTTACAGTACAGTTTGATTGAGAAAGTAGTAAGACAATGTATGCTGCATAAGTTGAAAAGCAATGTTTTGAAGTCTTTGATTGATTTACGATTTGGTTGGGTTGTAACTGTCAAATCTGAGTTTGGGTTGTCATTGTGTGTTAAGGGGTGCCCTGATGTTTGAAATAATGTTGTCTGGGTGGAATTTGGAACTTACTACGAATTGCAAGGACATTGAGCATTGAACTTTCGATGGTGCTGGTGGAGCATTGATCTTGACTTTCCCTGTACAATGTTCTTGTTCTGCATGGGTTGAATAGCTGGTTTACTGTGTGTAAATGTGTTGTTGTTGAGCAACTGGCTAGTTGGCCGATAATTGGTTGGTTTGCCGTTTGCTTGTTTGACAGGTCATCATTTTTATTGACAAGTTGGTTATTAGTTTTCGTGACTGTATATTGCTTTTTGGTTGCAGTATGTGGTGGATGTTGGTCTTGGGGGAACCATACCGGAGTTATCTCTGATTAAGTTGGTCTTCCACATTTCTTCAGTGCTGGCATGATGAATGACGATGGTCAATGTAAAAAGTTTGCAAGGAGAAAATTAGTTTGACCGCAAGCAATGAAGCAAGTGTCAGATGACGGTTGAGTGGATGCTTGGTCTAGACAAAGACGCTGAGAATTGATTGGTCGAAGATGGGGGATTTATGAGATATATAAACTATAATTGGTTAATAAAGATGCAGATTACGAAATATATACTTAATAACAAATTTGAAAGCATGGCAACGAAAGAAAGGACTGAATGTTTAGTGCAGAAAGAGGATTATTATAAGTCTGAGGGTGATAAATAAATGAACAATGAACAAAAAACTTGCAACTAGATGAGACAAAATAACCCCATAGTCAGGTGTAAAGTAAAAACTATGATTGTGAAAACATGATATGCAGGTAGTAGACAGGTGTGGTCATCCCAGCAGTATTAACCTCAGATTATTATGCAATCAGTCAAATAATGTATTGTACATGTATGCATTACATAGTCCATCTCCACATTATAAAATATATGATCTTATTTCAGTTGTACAATTTTGGATGACAGAGGATGTCTAAATTACTCGCTCCGATCTCCTGTTGGTGTTGCCGGTCTGATCAGTCCATGGAATCTACCGTTGTATCTGTTAACGTTTAAAATTGCTCCGTGTATCGCTACAGGCAATACTTGTGTTTGTAAACCGAGTGAGATGACCTCTGTAACGGCATGGATGTTGGGAAAGGTTTTAAATGAAGCAGGTGAGTCAGTGAACTTAAATGTTGTCATTCATTTGAGTGCCTGACGTCAGTCAGACAATGAAATGAATGGCATTTCTTAATGCAAGTGAGACAAATTGCCCAATAAACTTACTGTTCCTGGTGAAACTAGTAGTTATCTCTGAGGCAATCTTTGTGGACACATCGTCCAATGGAGTACTAAACAACTATACATTGATAGCTCAGTGAAACAATCTATATTCATTACATTATAAAATGATTCAATGAATTTCATTGATTAAATTAACATGGCAGATCTGAAATCCATTCTTATATAAATTAATTAGTGATTTACAGGATCAAATATAATTGGTGGATCAATGAATAATAATGAATAATTTACATTTAATAAAATTTCAATGAAATTAACATTTAATGGTAAAGTTCTAAAGCTTACAGTATATTGTTGTTGTTTTTTTGTTTTTTTTATTTCAACTATATAAAACATTACAAGACTCAAAAGAAAAAAACACACGGTACATAGTTATTTGACGTCAGATAAAGAGAAGTAACCAATAACTTCGTATAAGCATATTTAATATCCTCTTAAGAGGTATGCACTGTAGATTTTTGAGTTTCAATTTTAATCAACAAAAATTTGCATACTTAATTTCGATTTTCAAATGATACCAAAGTTATTCTCAACCATAACTTATGAAATTTGCACTATGTAATAAAGTTTGTTTTAACTATATAAACAATACAAAACACTAGGCCAAAAGAATGAAGTACATACCTTATTGGCAGATAAAGAAAAATTACATTTAAGAAAATAATCAGATTTCTTTAAATTTAAATTAGTGTGCGATTTTAAAATACAATAAAGCTTTCTTCCATTTATCTATAAACTCTCTATATTGTTGGTTTGTTTTTGCCATACGTTTCTCCAGGTCTATTATTTGTTTTATACTCTCAATATAAGTATTAAAATTTGGTTTGAGATTGTTAAATCTTACTCTGTACAATTCATATTTTCCAAGTGGTATTAAGTGCTTCCACAAGGCCTTTGATTGAATTCCTTCTATAGTATTGAAAATAATATCTTTCTTTCCAAGTGCAGTGTTTATAAACATGATTTTTGTCCATTACGTTTTGAACGAGTCCCAAAATACGGGATATTGTTTACTCAATGAGACTAACATTGAATCATTTCATATTTCAGGTCTTCCTCCAGGTGTAGTCAATATAGTGTTTGGTACTGGTCCTAAAGCTGGCAGTGTATTGGTGTCACACCCTGATGTGCCATTGATTTCATTCACTGGGAGTACACTGACTGCAGAGAAAATCAGGAAGGACAGTGCTCCATTTTGCAAGAAGTTATCTCTGGAGGTGAATTGGTTTATTATGCTATTGATCACACTTAGTGTCAGCAGTTAGGTGCAGTGTCTGCATCTAG